CCCAACCTATCCCTCTTCAGTGTGATCCAGCAACAGGTATTGCAGCAGCTTAAAGATTGAAAAGCTAAGAAGAAAGGATGTTGGAAAGGAAATTTGATTAAGACAGCGCTTATCGGCTTCAACCGATGGGTTTAACCGATAGGCTACACTGATTAAAGGGAATGCTAAACCACGAGCAAGATATTGGTGCACAACAACATCAAGCTCAGCAGATCTCAGATGGAACCGAGGAAACTCGGACCGTGACATGCAAATTGACCATTGATCAGATTTCAATCTTGCCTAACCGGGTTATTTCTATCAATTTTATTAAAAATCTCCTGTTTATATTGGTTTTCCAAAAACCTGATCTTTTTAGGTTCAGTTAAAACAAGCGGGTTTTTGTTTTATAATTTATATCCTCTCCCTATCTCTTCAAAAACTCTTTCTTCTTCCCTTCTTTGTCGCTTTCTACCATATACAGTAAATGTTCATTCAACCCTAGCTTTGGAATTTCTTATGGTTTAACGTTCTATTCTTGATCTGAAACCTCTGCTTTTCTCCTGTTGAAGATATTTCAGTGACCAACTTCTCTTCTTGCATCTTTATTAAAGCACGAGTGCCTCGAGTTCTTCAAGTGGGGATGAAGTTTACTACATGGCCGACCTATGGAGCGACACATAATGGAGCTTTTTGCAAAGGCTCAGCAAAACCCTCCTGCTACCAACTCGGTTCGCCTGCGTGAAGGTACTCTTTGAAATGGGAATCAAGGATAGCCTTGATGACTTCGCTGCACAATTGAACTTCTAATCTCTGTCTTCTATGGAGTACCACACCTACCCTTCCCTTACCAGGCAGTTCCTTGCGTCTGCCTCGTATCTGGCGGGAGACTCAGCTTATGGATCAGGCAAGATTGGACACACTCACTTCTCCCTATCCCATGCTAAGTTTCTAAAATATAAGGGATAGTTGGCGACCCCTATATAACCAGTCCTACTTGGGATGACGCCGATATGGTGTGGAGGAACATCGCAAATGATGCCCCCTACCACCCTAGCGTTTGCAGAATCTCAAAAGTCAAGAACCCAACGGTTCGTTATGCCCTGCGGCTACTTGGCCACACCATGTTTGAAAGGCCGCAGCCGTGTCAAACTAACAACGGAGAGCTGCGAATGGTGTATGGCACTACCCAACGCTGGCTCAATGACAAGTACGGCAAGCTAATAAACCGAGCCTGGATGCGACCAGAAGTGGGGTCCTGGTTCCTCGACCATATATTTAGAGTGAAAAGTGATGCATTGGCGAATCTAGATTATCATATTTGCATTGGAGGCCTGCTTACACCCATCTTCACGGAATGCATAATTGATTTAAGCTTACAATGGTATTTCCATACTATCCCCAAGATGGACTTTGATTATCTGGTGAACACTCACACCTTAGCAGGAAGATTATATCCAAACACGTTGGTTTACCGCTATATGGAAAACGAAGACACCTCTGATGTGCTTCCTTCCTCAACACAAATACTCTGCGACGGATTGCGTGAGAAACCTGCAATTCTCACTGCCAAAAGATCAAGTGATCGTTCCTCCTCCTCCTTAAAACTTCACTACCTACTACTTCTAAAGGTACCACCTACCTCTGTATATAGTAGTTTAGATTTTTCTTTAGTTTTTCTTTTATTTCGTTTTTGTTTTTTTAGTGTGTGTGTTGTTGTGTTTCTTTTCTCCTTTCTCTGTTCTCTGTCTCACTGGGACAGTGAGAACTAAGTCTGGGGGAGGGAAT